ACAAAATAGATTTTAAGACAAAAACTATTAAAGGAGACAAAAAAAGGATACTATATCATGATTAAAATATAAATTAAACAGGAATATGTGACTATTATAAAAACCACTATAGAAGACAGTTTGGAGATACCTCAGAAATCTGAATATAGTCCTACCATATTACCCAGCCATCCCACTTCTTTGAATTTATCCAAGGGAAATCAAATCAGCAAATAAAAGAGTTATGTGCACACCCATGTTTATTGCAGCTCAATTCACAATAGTTAATATATGGAATGCCTGTAAATGGAAGAGTGGATAAAGATATTATTGGATATGTACTCTATGGAATACTACACAGTGGTAAAAAAAAAATGAAATCCAGTCATGTGCAACAAGATGGATGAATCTGGAAAACATCATACTTAGTGAAATAAGCCAGTCCCAAAAGGACAAATACCCTGTGTTCTCCCTGATCTGTGATAACTAACAGAGCACCTAAATGGAAACCCGTAGAAGTGATATTGACACTATGAGAAGCAATGACTTGCATATCCCTTGTCTTGACATTTGAGGAACAGTTTATCATTTTATTCATTTATTATTACTATTTTTTCTACTTAATACCATTGGTTGAAACCCTTACTTAACATAGAATTTATCATAGGTGTATTAAGTCAATTGAAAATAAATCCCAGCCGGCGCCGCGGCTCACTAGGCTAATCTTCCGCCTTGCGGCGCTGGCACACCGGGTTCTAGTCCCGGTCAGGGCGCCGGATTCTGTCCTGGTTGCCCCTCTTCCAGGCCAGCTCTCTGCTGTGGCCCGGGACTGCAGTGGATGATGGCCCAAGTGCTTGGGCCCTGCACCCCATGGGAGACCAGGAAAAGCACCTGGCTCCTGCCTTCGAATCAGCGCCGGGTGCTGGCTGCGGCGGCCATTGGAGGGTGAACCAAAGGCAAAGGGAAGACCTTTCTCTCTGTCTCTCTCTCTCACTGTCCACTCTGCCTGTCAAAAAAAAAAGAAAAAAGAAAAAAAGAAAAGAAAAGAAAAGAAAAGAAATCCCAGTAAAAAATAGGAGTGGGAATAACAGGGAGGAGCTGTACAGTACACATTCCCATGGACTTACCCCTAAGGGTAAATCTAAAAACTTGCCATGGGACTCCAAATCCCATTAAGCTGGGTGGTACTAATGCCATCTTATGTGTTAAAGTGATCATATAAAGTATAATTGGTCACATAGATAGGATTAATTGTCAAAGTGTAACTGATCATATAGATAGGATTAAGTACCAAAGGGATCACATAAATAAGACCAAGTGTCTGGTAATAACAATAGATAGAATTAACAACAGACAGAACAACAAATGCCCTAAACAGCACTCTGATCTCAGAATCAGCCCTTCAGGCATTGGGATCTGGCTGAAAAGCCCACGAGAGCAAGGAAACCCAAGACACTGTGGCAACAAATGTTCTACATGAAGGATCTCAGTGAGACCCCAGTGGAAAGAAGGGGCCATCAAAGAAACACGTGCTTTTCTCTGAAGGAAGGAGAGCACTTCCATTTTGCTTATCACCCTGTCTAAATACTGAATGGAGTATGTGGAATCAAAAGGCTTCCATAGCCTTGGCAGTTCATGTCAAGAGCCTTGGGTGATCACTGACATCGAAAATAAGAGTGTTAATTGTTAAATTAACAAGAGTCATTGCACTTACTCCCCATGTAGGACCTCTGTCCTTAAAGAGTTGTACTATGAGGATTAACTATAAAATTTGAGCTCAAACAGTACTTTATACTTTGTACTTTGTACGTGAAGGGGTACAAATTGTTCAAATCTTTGCTTAGTATAGAGTTGGTCTTCTGTATATAAAATTAAATAAAACTGAATCTTAATGAAGAATGGGATGGGAGAGGAAGTAGGAGGTGGGATGGTAGTGGGGGTGGGAGGACGGTTAAGGGGGGAAGAACCACTATATTTCTAAAGCTGTACCTGTGAAATTAATATTTATTAAATAAATGCCTTCTTTAAAAAACACAATTAGGTTTCACCTCACCCGAGTTAGAATGGCTATCATCCAAAAATCAAAAAATAACAAATGCTGGTGAAGATGTAGAGAAAAAGGTACCCAATTACACTGGTGGTGGAAATGTAAAGTAGCACAACCTCTATTGAAGACAATATGGAGATGCCTCAGAAATATGAAAACAGTTTACTATACATCCCAGTCATACTACTCCTTGGATTTAGCCAAAGAAAAGGAAAGCAGCATATGAAAGAGTTATTTATACTCCCATGTTTACTGCAGCTCAATTCACAGTTGCTAAGATATTGAATGAACTCAGATGTCCCTCAGCTGAAGACTACTATATAAAGAAAATGTGGTACATATACATGATGGAATACTACTCGGCCATAAAAAATACAATCGTCTTTCACAACAAAATGGATGTAATTGAAGACCATATACTAAGCTAATTAAGCCAATCCCCAAAATCCAAATATTATATATTTTCTCTAAATATGTGGTAGTTAGCACAGAATACAAAAAAGTGTAAGAATGAAACTGACAGCTCATTTATATTCCTATAAAACAGAGGTCTTCCTACTTTAATTGTCGAATATGATGGTTAGTGGTATATTACATTCATTATTATATAGTAAATTGAAAGTATGTCATTGTAAAAATTAAAGGGTAAAAAAAGAAGCAAAGAAAGGAAGAAGGATTGAGAATGGGGAAGGGAGGGAAGTATGGATATCTCCTACGAACTGTATCTAGGAAATACTTAAAATCTCCATTAATAAAAAAATTTTTAAACTTAAAAACTGAAACTCTTCCATCTAAACACCACCAACAGCAACAAATATGAACTAGGCAATGTGAACCTGTTCTTGTTCTTCACAAGTGAATGTTGAGAAAAGATGAATGCCTACCTGAGAGGAGGCAAAAGCAGTCATGATGAGGAAGTAAAAGTGATAAAAGAGTTTCATTGTGATGGGGCATTGCAGAGATGAAACAAAGAAATAGGGCAATGAACAGAGGGCACAATCTGATCATCTACAGTTCGAATGTTTTTGCAGCTTCCAAAATCCATATTGAAACTTAGTCCTCCATTCAATGCTATTAAGAGGTGTGGTCTTTAGTGGGTGATTAAGGACTCCACCCTCATGTGAGGAATTGGTGACCATATAAAAGGGCTTAACAGGCAGAGTTTACCCCTTTTTCCACCTCCTCTGTCCCAACTACCAAGCAAGGACATAGTGGAGGATGCTGCAATAGGACCTCATCTCAGAAGGTACCTGATGGAGCCTCGATCTTGGACTCCAAGTCTACAAAATTGTGATAATATATGTTTGTTATTTATAGTTTATTCAATCTTATGCATTTTTTACAGAAGTACAAATGAGCCAAGACAGATCAATGGAGGTTTTTAAGAAAGGGCATATATAACATAATATTTGTGGGTTGACTCAATCTAGCAGAGTGGGGAAAATTTCTTATACAGGACAAAGATAGATACTTGCAAGAGAAAACTCAACAAAAATGTGTGAGCAAACACTTCTCATGTGTAAGAGAAGGCTTATGTTGAAGAAAGAACAATAAGGTATTACCCTCGAAGCACATGTGACAATGTGCTTTCCAGTAAGGTAATAGTTAAATGCATTTTATTAAAATCATCATGCATTTATGTATCATTTCAATTACTCCTTGGCCAAATATCCAGAACTGGCAATTGTGAACAAGAAAACAAATTTTCACAATGAAAGGCAGCCTCCTATTATCTAAATTCCCCAAAATTATAGGCTAAAATGGATGAGGGTATAATCAGGTAAAACACATAAACAAATAATTGGATAAAATGGCATGAATTGCTAAGAACATTTCCGTTTTTCTATTATTTCAGTACCAAAAAACTGCCATTAAAAAACAAAATCTGAGGAATGTCTACTCATGGTTTTATAAGAAAGGAGATATTTTGTATCTAAATCAGAAGAACATCATTCTTATCATAATCCCAATTATATGTTCTGTCCACTGCAATGTCATTTGTGTAAAGCAGGTAAAATATAATCTTAAATTACATTGAAAATCAAAATACTCCTTTTCTTCACATAACTCATATCAACAAGGACACTGACAGCTTTTGGATTCATCTGAAACGAGAAAAAGAAATATCCACCTTTTTGGGACTTGAGATTTCTTAAGCTTTGCCAACGTAAACGGCACAAATAGCAGCATGAAGTACAGCAATCTTCTGCAAGTGTCAGAGAAAGCAAGGAAATATCACCCCTGCCCTGGCTGACCACCTACAGATCTAGGAATAAAATCAGAGTCCAAAAGTTCTTGCAAACATGTGAACTGCAGGATGTAGTAAGTGTAATCTTAAGTTTTCATCCACAATTACGCACATAAGGAATATTTACTTGCTTCCATAATATTACACTTAGAAAAATCTACAGAGAGAACTTTCAAAGGTCACCACAAATATTAGGTCTAAGGTGTTTACCACATCTACTTTTCTCAACTTCCTTCCCTTCAAGAACAATAGAATGACTGAGGAATCCTCAGTGGGTCCAGGAAGCAGATCATGATCTTTCTCTCCTTAACATCTGAACAAAGTAGCTGAAAAATCATAGCAAAGTATCTTCTAACACAGCAACAAACTCCGGCAAACTGTTTTTTCTCATCCAGTATATTTTAGTCATAACTTGTCTTTCAAAGAAAAATAGTTTTTTGATCATCATTAAAGTCTTAATTCAGTCAGAAGAATGATGTCCCAAGAAACCAAATCTAGAAAATGTTATCGCAGAAACCCAAACTACATTGATATAACACATATATTAAATTTGGGGAGCAAAACCCATACAAACTTGGATTTTGTAACTGATTATTTATTTATAAAACATTCTACCATCTTATCTCTCAGAGGATTGTTAAGAAATGATTAGCACTTCAGCAGATTCTAACACATTGTTGCTTTTTGTGGCTCTGTTTATTTGTTGGTTCAGTTTGAAAGGCTTACCATCTTGTTGGCCATGAAGAGTCTGGGGACTTTGCATTCTTTCCTCGAGATTGGAGCTAAGATCAGAGTTCACAGCTGACATCCGAGTTGAGTCACTCATATCAAATTCATCACTTTCTATTGAACTTTCATCCTGAAAATGGTTTTAAAATATCATCAAGCATCATAAAGCATGGTACATTCAAATAGTGACCATTTTATCTGTATGGTCAGTTAAAGGTCAGCCAGTAAATAAGCTTTTATAAAACGCAACAAAATATGTTACACACTAATAGATGCTTGAAATAACTAATGGAGAAATTTCTATCCTCAAGGAATTACCAGATTTGGAAATATTCAAACAAAATGTCTATGTACATATACTTACATACACATTTTTAAAAGCAAAATAATGTATTTAGGAAGATTATAATGTGGGAATTAGTCTGAATAATGAAAGAATGGGTTTTTAATAATTATATATTTTAATAAGTTACTTAGTATATTATAAAACATAGCATAAAACATGTTAATTAACATGATTAATGTTAAATAACCTAATAAAATATTATAAGCTAGACTCTTAGAATATAGTCAGAAATGGTTCACCAAAGTTTTTCCTATGTTAGTAAATAGGATAGATCCTAATGGTAAAAATATCTAGATTCACAGTCTGCATTTGGTGTGGAGAAAAGTAATCTGAAGGTATCCTTTGTTTCTTTACAATGATTATAAATACAATCACAAAAAGGAATTCTAGGCAAAAATGATCAAGATTTCTTTACCAAAAGTCAGTTCATAAAATAATTAAATTACCAAATGGTTAACACACCAAATGGCCAATTCTCCAAAGCCTGTAAAATACCAAATCTAGGCTACAGTCATTTCACTGAAGCAAGCTCCTTCTGGAGAAATTATTTTTGGATAAATGGTGTAGTTATGGAGGCAGAAACCCTGAGAAACCTGTATAAACAATTCACCAAGATCACCAAGCTTTATTTTATTTTGTAGATGTTTGATCTGAAAGTTTAACAGTAATATATTTGCATAGCAATCATGTTGATATTTATGTTGTAGAAATCATTCTTTATATGTGTTCACTCAACCTTCATTACAACCTATGAGTTAGGGACTAGCATTCACCCACTTTTACAAATCAAGAAACTGAGGCACACTCAGAAGTAGGATTCATATGAAGCCACTGAGCCTAAGGAAATAGCTTCTTTGAATAAGTAGAGTTAGCTTGTTTTCGTAAATGACATGTTGGTATCAAGAGAGAAGATGACATGCTGAAGGGGAAGGGGTAGGAGTGTTCTGGCAAAGTAACCATTGGCATTCTGATCCGCAGATCAGGCCCAGGTGACTGTGGCATCCTTCCTTCACCAAAAGTGTACTTATGTCTTAGTATACATGGCACCACCAGCTCTTCATTAATCCAGCAAGGAAATGCTGCACCGTGCAACCTCTAGCTCACCAGTTACATGGACTTCTCTTGGTGGTACACCCTCTTTCAGTACATTATACTCTTCTCCAACTCTAAATTCTAAGAATATCCAAAGTATTAAAGAGAATTAAATAACAGAATTCAATGTGTGGACTTCAATATTATCAATGTGTACCATGTAACTAAATATGTATGTATGTGTATATATATGTAACTGTGTGCATGTAATAAGTAATGTAGGTAAGTATTCTAGATATCCATAAGTAACACAGATGTGCATTACATATACCACATAGAGTGTCTGTGACATCTCAATATGTTAGAAGGTATTCTCAGAACCCATACTTCCTGAATTCAGATCCATGCTCTGCTGCTTATTAGACTGTTACTTTAAGTCAGTCATATAAACTTTCTGTGCCTCATTTCTTTCATCTATACAATGCAATAATAATAAAGTCAACTTCATAGGGGTATATGAAAATTGAGAGGCTTAAGTATTTAAAATATCTAGAACAATGTCAAGGTAACAATATGTACAATAGAAGGCTTGTGTTGCTTATATATAGAATGCACAATTCCACAACATATATATTTATTACATAAATATATACAATCAGATAAAATAAATTTAAATAAAATGGTAAACATAGCTAATATGTTTTAAGTTTCTGTATGTTCTGTATTAATATATAAGCTTTAGTCTTTATTTTTATTATATATACTACAAATAGCTAATTCCATGTAATTTAGTAAAATATTTCTATGGCATATTTATATATAAATAAAATATGTGTGTGTGTGTGTGTGTGTGTGTGTATGTGTATCTGTTTAAGGAAGAGCAAGATAAAAAGATTCAGGTCATAGTACCTTTCTTTGAAAAGGTGTTAAACCTGCTACAGCACATTATAGATAATCAATACCCATTTTATGACTACTGACATTCTTGTTAGCATACTTTTTAAAAAATCTGGACAGAGATTAAATGGTTGTTATATATTGTTGCTATTTAAGCAAACAAATTTTAAAAATTTAAAATTTTTTTAAAATTTAAATGTGCTTCAATATCATAAGTGGCTTAATGATTGAAAATATTTTAAACATTTTTCTCTATCATTACCTCTGAAACACAAGTATAATTCACTTTTTACAGTTCCAGCCCTCATTAGAATATCAATTGTGATTCCTTTATAAAAAGCTTTAATGTGATGGCCAGCATTTGGTACAGTCCATAAAGCCACTGTCCGTGATGCTGGCATCACTTAAAAATAATGATTGTTGTCCTGTTTGATTCAGTTCTGATTCAGCTCCCTGCTAATGGCCTAGGAAAAGCAGTGGAAGATGTCCAAAGTATTTGGTCCCTGCCACCCACATAGGAGACCAGGATGAAATTCCTGCCTCCTGGCTTTGCCCTGGCACAGCCTCAGCAGTTGCAGCATTCTGGGGAGTGAACCAGTCGATGCAAGGTCTCTCTCTCTCTCTCATATATATATATATATCTCATCTCATATATATATGAGATATACCTTGTGTGTGTGTGTATGTCTCTTCCTGTCTCTGTAAAACCAACTTTCAAGAAAACAAATAAATCTTCAAAAAAAAAAAAAAAAAAAAGCTTTGATGAAACTAAGTGAAAGTATTCATCCTGTTAGTTCTAATAATTAACTGATTACATTATCTTTTAATCAAAGCTATCAAAGTGTATCATGAGAGAAGACTGCATTTTTAATCTACTGAGAGAGAATACTAATCATACTAGGGAGAAGCTACAGAAGGTGTCCAAGGGAAAAGAATCAGAAACATGACTGACAGACTATGTAGCGACTTTACTCATGATCACCTTTAGACCATGCATCTAAATCTTTCCCTGTGTAATTCTATATTTTGTTTCATATGAAAATCAGAAAAAAGTCTCCACATCACACAATGTGAGCTTATGTCTAATACAACTAACCTCTTATGATAATGAAAACCATGGCTATCCAACTTAGTAACTCTGCTTCCTTATAATTTTTAAAAATCAGAGCATGTATTTTATAAAAATAAATTTTTCAGTCTAATTTAATTTTATTGAAGTTTTATTTCTCTTTTGAAAAGCTACTTGAATTGGCAACCCCTCAATGATTCCATATTTCATTTTACTTTCCATGTTCTAGATGTTACCCTCTAGAAGAGTGTCTATAATTCACCTCCTAATTTCCATTGATGCTTTCTTGATTGGTTCAAAATCATATCACTCAATTTCCTGAACTATGTAATATTAGTTTTCTATTTCACCTACTCACCTCTAATTACTCCCCCACCAGCCCTGCCTATCAACTACTATTAAATTAATCTTTCCATTTCTGAACAAGCTACTCTGCTCAAAAATTTGCAGCCTGTCTATTGTCTCTCAAGCAACATGTAAGCTATTCACTCTAGCATTTAGGATTTTCCATAAAACTACTGAAAAATAACTACCACCAATCTCACTTTTGCTGTATATATTTTTTTCACTTACTGTTTTTTCTCAAACCAAATTAAAGTCTATATTAGCACCCTCTGTTTTAAATGCATTTCCTCAAATCTTAGTGTACATGAGATGGACCTTATTAAAAATTCAGAATATCAGATCCCACATTTCAGAAGTTGAGTTATAATCTTTTGGGATGCACTTCTGGTAAACCCCGCTCCGTAAGCTCCACAGGTTATCTCTTTGCTGGTTACTTACACAGTGCTCTTCAAGAAACCACACTGCAATTATGGCTTTGCTCTACAATATTCTCTGTTCAGAAAAGTAACCACTAGGCACCCACAGCTATTGAGTACTTGAAATAGGGCTAATGCAACGTAAACATTGGACTTCTCATTTTCGCTTACTTGAAGTAATTTTCAATTAAGTTTTAAACAGCCACCTGTGGCTGGGGCCTATATTGGCCAGTGCATATTTGACAATCCCTCATTGTTAAAGCCTGAAAATACATCCAGTAATTCACTATTAGCAATGCAGTAAATATCCTAATCAACACAGTGTTTTATATCTCACATTCTTTAATATAAATTTCTAGTCAAAGTATCTAATTATATTTGGAAAAAATTTAGTTATTAAATTCTCTTGGAAAGTCTGTTCAAGTTTAAACTCTACTCGACAGCTTATAGAAGGTCAACTGGTTTTAGATTGGATATAGCATGTTGTAGAAATCTTTTCAACATGGCAAGCACCAAATAACAAGCCAATTGATTAAAAATCTTTGGTTATATAAGAAGTTGAGTAATTTTTCATGATTACTGATCACTACAGTGAATAGTCTCCAGAGATGGTCACTATCAAGTCCTTGCTTTCCTGTACCTATGTATAACTTCTCAGACCAAGAAGTAGTACCTACTCCTTTTCACCTTGAAAGAGATTGCTTTGTTATCTGCTTTGGCCAACAGAATATGGCAGAAGTAATACTTGGCTAATTCCAGATGCCTGGGAGTGTTCTGCTTCTTCTGCCTTGAAAGCCTGCTGCCACAGAAGAAATCTGAGTACCCTAAAATCACCTCATTGTGCAGAAGCCCAAACCAGCCAGCCGCAAGTAGACAGTGACAGTCATCAAGATACCATTTAAGTGAAGCCTTCTTGAAACCTCCAGCCCAAATCATGTGTAGGTTGAATGTAACCAAGTGAATGGTCCTAGCTTACACAACAAGTAACAAAAGAAATTCTATGGTGAGTCCTATTTGAATTCTTA